AACAATGATTCGTTCTCCTCCAACTGATGTGGGATCTCACAATCCACCCCCCAACTGATGTGGGATCTCACAATCCACCCCCCAACTGATGTGGGATCTCACAATCCACCCCCCAACTGATGTGGGATCTCACAATCCACCCCCCAACTGATGTGGGATCTCACAATCCACCCCCCAACTGATGTGGGATCTCACAATCCACCCCCCAACTGATGTGGGATCTCACAATCCACCCCCTTCGGGACCTAGCGTTCTTGCTGACACTCATTCCTCTCTCCAAATGTTGTTGGACCCCCCAATCACCCTTATAAACAATGATTCGTTCTCCTCCAACTGATGTGGGATCTCACAATCCACCCCCCAACTGATGTGGGATCTCACAATCCACCCCCCAACTGATGTGGGATCTCACAATCCACCCCCTTCGGGGCTTAGCGTCCTTGCTGACACTCATTCCTCTCTCCAAATGTTGTTGGACCCCCCAATCACCCTTATAAACAATGATTCGTTCTCCTCCAACTGATGTGGGATCTCACAATCCACCCCCCAACTAATGTGGGATCTCACAATCCACCCCCCAACTGATGTGGGATCTCACAATCCACCCCCTTCGGGACCTAGCGTTCTTGCTGACACTCATTCCTCTCTCCAAATGTTGTTGGACCCCCCAATCACCCTCTTCGGGACCCAACGTCCTTGTTGGCACACTGCTTGGTGTCCACCTCATTTGGAGCTCAACCTCCTCACTGGTACACTGCATGGTGCCTAGCTCTAATATCATTTGTAACAGCCTAAACCTATCGCTAGCAAATACCGTTCTCGACTTTTCCTTCCAAGATTTCCCTCAAGCTTTTGCTAGGGAGAGGTTTCTACACCCTTATAAAGAATTCTTTGTTCCCCTCTCCAATCGATGTGTGTCTTACCGTGACATAACTGAAATACAAACACATAACAGAAGAAGAGATCAAAAAAAAAAAAAAAAAAAAAAAAAAAAAAAAAAAAAAAAAAAAAAAAAAAAAA